AGAAATCACCACGCAGTGCACAGGCCGCACGGTGCGTGGCGGTTGGAGGAGCGTCTCAAACCGGCGGCAGCATAACTAGAGTGCTTAGACAACGAGGAAGAGCATGCGCTCCATTCCGCTTGGGCCAATCCTGTTCCGTGCTCATTAGCCACGCCTTGTCGGGTGCATCACGGATAAGGGGTGAGGCCATCGTCGTTCGGTACGACGCGCTTCTCCGTGGCCTTTACCTTTCATCATACACCCTCAACGCGGCCTTTTGTGTGCACGGGCATCTTTGAGCACCTGGTCCGTTGACCATTCGGCGGCTCGCTTCCTTTTTGGTCGCCATCCCTGGCTGTACGGCTTACACAAAGGTCACCCCTACTGCGGAGTGGAGCCGTGATTGGTCAGAAGCGTTCCCACGTCACGTGCACAGCACCGTTGTACTGCCCCAGCTGCTCCGTGTGTAAAGGAAGAAGAGGCGAAACATAGTAATCACGGCCGTGATATAGTAGCGTACAAGTCCCGTACTTTGGCAACGGGGCATACCACAATATCCTCTTGTGTCGGATGCGGCAACCCACATAAATGAATGTTCGGACTGGCGTTTTGGCCACACAGTGCAACAGTGACGTGGCGCACAGGCCCACGAAAACGAAAACAGGAAAAGGGCGAAAGCAAAGCCGGAAATTCCAAACAAAAAAAAAACATAGTACACGGTTTGAATACGTGCCTGTAAGCATCCGTCTTGCGCGCGTGACAAAAAACCCTGTGGTTGGAGGAATCACCTGGCACAGTGCGTGGCTCGGCAAACACATAGCAGGACCTCTTCGTCTGATGATCGCACAGCGCAACACACGAAAAAAAACACGCCGCAACCCCCATTTCATGTGACTGTCAAGGAACAAAAGCAAACAGCAACAGAAGCAAATAGCAGTTCAAGCAGCAAGTGCCCCAGGCCGGGAAAAGGAAAAACCACGGCGCAGGTCTACCAAAACGGTGACGTGCACTCGATTCGAAACGCAAGCAAGGCGCACTGACACAAATGGCTGAAGCAGCAGCAACAAAAACTTCGGCAGCCATCCCAGTAAAGAACATCCGTTGGCATTTTCTCCAATCATTCTTATCATCCTCTCACTAGATACCGCTGTGCCTGCAAGCATCACCCTTTACACTGCTCCTAGTTTAGCCCTTCGTCAGAAACTACATTCGCAGCCTCAGCGAGCAGGTCCTGTGCCAACATCGCAGCGGCACTCGCCTTCTCAGCCTTTTCCACAGCACATTCCGCGCGCACAGCCGCATTCGCACCAGCCCGTCCAGCGACCTTCGCAATGAACACCAATCGTTCGGTCTTGACAACTTTGTATTCAGCATTCATCGCATTACTCTTCGCATCATTCATCGTCTTCACTGCAACGTCAACCACACCCATACTATACCGTGCCTCTTCCTCCGCCAACTTAAACGCCTCGTTGGCCTTCTGCGCAGCCACAATCGCAATTGCCACATTCGCGGCGACAGACGCAGCTGCCCTTTCAGCCACCTTCACTGCCTCTCCCCTCACCAGCTTGGATGCTGCCACTATTGCGTTTTTGGCCCCTTCTGCTACTTTTATCGCAGCTTGGGCCCGTCGCGCTGCCGCCTTGGCCCTTTGAGACCCGTCCCCGGCGTTGTGAGCCGCCGCCGCTGCCACTGCCAGTGCGTTCAGTGCTCGATTAACCAGTTTTAAATTCTCCCTCCGAGACAACCCGGATTGTGCTTCAAAACCTGTTGGGATCCCGTTGTCGCTATCAGGCATCATCAATAACTCACAGGCACCGTCATCCGCCTCGGATGCGCAAGACGCCGATACACCGCAGTCAAACGCCTTGCAGTAGTTGGCGGACCGCCCAACTCCAGCAGAACCCAAATCCCCCCGCAGCTGCTGTTCCAACGAAAAAGCGTCTACGCACAGCACAAAAAAAGCGAGGATCAAGCCATAAAACACAGTCCGCGCCATCGCATTGCTCGAACAATCTACGCTAAAGAAAGAATACAAGAAAAAAAAAACAGAGAAGATTCAGCAAAACACACCAAAAGGGGACCAAAACAAAACAAGAAAGAAACACTGCATTTGACCCAGCACATCGTCAAACAACTCGGAATCTCCACCTCCTGAAATCACCCCGCCGCGAGTGCAGTGCACGGTACGGGGTGTTAGACGGGGGTGTCGGCAGGAATGGGGAAGAGGGAGAAAAAATGGTCACACGATTGTGGGTGAGAGAGGGGTAAGGCAGCTCAACATTTGTACACATTCAAGAGTCCTCATCAAGGTAGTCGGTCCGCCTGTCGTTAGACAAGTTCTCATCATTGCAGCCAGCGTGTGGATGGGAAAAGCAGGTGGGAGAATGAAAGAGAGAGCACAGTGGAGTTTCAGCGGTGTATACGGATTGTCATCAAACGGAGTCAGCGCACAGTGCTCTGATAATGGGATCCGTTCATGATAGGGTCATCATGTCAGCGACAGGGCAGCGTGGGTGCATCTCGGAAAACCACCACCCACAGTGCGCCACTGAGCTGGCAGGGCACCGTGGCTACGGGCCTCCTCGCGCTGAGGAGGAAGAGGCAAGAAAGAAAGAAAGAAGGGCAGTCAGCATGGTCACATCGGCAGGGCACAGCGTCAGCCGCACCTGTTGTTGTTACTCATCACCAAGCGCTGCTCAGTCGCGCACTACAACTTTTGTCGTCATCTGTGAATGCAGTTGTCACGACTGGCAAAGAAGGATTACTGATCTCCGATCCAGAAATCACCACGCAGTGCACAGGCCGCACGGTGCGTGGCGGTTGGAGGAGCGTCTCAAACCGGCGGCAGCATAACTAGAGTGCTTAGAGGACGGCGAAGAAGGTCTACGCCGTAGCGTGTCATATGCTCTTTGTCTTATTCCGTTATTTGATGTCGTTCGTGTTGCCGAATAACTCGGCTTCACATTAATGTCTCCAGTGGTTTTTTTTTGCACACACAGTGAGTGATTAATCGATGTGCTTTTTTTTGTTCCTAGTAATGTCTAGTCTGGACCGACTGGTGTTTATTTAACACGACTAATCATAATGAAGAGAGAGCGCGGTAACATTATCAACAATGTAGTGCAGCATTTTTATCCGAAGCAATTTTTGTTTCCGAAGTCTGTGGGGAAGCAGGAAAATCTGAAAATTTGTGTATTGAAACCAACGAGTAGGATGGTCAAGGCGGAATTCCCCCAGCGGCGGACTTCTTATCTTTTACCCAACGCGATATGTGAAGAAGAAGAATCCTTTTGAAATAAAACTGTAATGATAAGTATCTGTAACCTCTTTCGCCGCATTACGGCATCACTTCCGTGTCAAATGCATTGACAGCAGGAACATTGTAAGAGAATGAGAGCCAAGCTATGCCAAGGTCCCAGATGGCAGGAGCATGCCCGTCATCATGTTCTCCGGACATAAAGATCGTGTCTCCTGGTGCTTTTAACATCGTTTCAGCCTTTTCTCTTTTGCATCGGGCGTCAATGATCCCCTGGGCGACCGTAGGGTCTATGTGCTGTGCAGAGATCGCATGATCACGTTGGCGCTGTTCGTTGCGTGGATGCGTATATGCTCTGCAGAGGCGCTGCCCAGGGGTATGCACACGACGATCCACAGCGGGGAAATCCTCTGAAATATCTTCGTCGTTGTCAGGATAGAAGGTTAAATGGCGGTGCGACTCCCTCCTTACAGTAAAGGATGGCTCACCATTGTCCTCCAGTGTGTGGGGCAGCGTTGGCATTCCCTTGCTGCATGTCTCTACACTCACTGCTGCTGCGTCACGACGCATGGGAAAAGTCGATGGTGGCGGGCACTTAACGGTGGTGGCACACCGCTCCACCAAGGCACTAACGAAAGTGGCGGCAGAAAGTGCAGAAGGAAGCGACGCAAAAAATGTTTTCAACTGCTTGTACTGCGCTATCACCTCTTCGCTTTCTGCACAAGGTTTCTGTTGCTGGATTTCCTGGTGTCTCGACCAGTCGCGCATGAGCCGCACCGCTGCATTGATGTCCACAAAGAGCAGCGGAAGCGCCGCATGCGAGGACTCTTCGCCCTCAGATTGAAATGGAAACTCTGACTTGTACGGAACTCTGTGGTAGAAGTTGAAAATACCGTGCCTTCGGGGATAGGCGTGCCACTCACCAGTCTCGTGCAGCACGAAAACAAACTCTCCGCAATGTGGCCCGTTGCATTCGGCGGCGGCCATGATGTCAAGTGGCCCGCCACACTCCAATGCAAACGGAATATTCGCTACCGTTGCGAGTGAGAGGGGGCACGCGCGCAGCACCTCGGCCCACGACAGCAGGAACCACCGTGGCGCCTCGTGAAGAAAGAAGCCGCAACCGTCGTGGCGCACTGGCATCGGGAAGATCGTTCCACCGGGGCGAATTTTCAGCTGTCGCTCTGCCAATTCGGCGACAGTGAACCAGCAGCAATCCTTTGCCGAGAAATGCCTGTTTTGTCTGTTTTCATCACCGCCATCGGCGGCATGTGCAGCAGCCTCACCAGAATCCTCAGCGTCTACAGGCTCCACGAGTTCCCCAGTGGAAGCCCAATAGTCAAGGGCCTTACGTAAGTGGCGGCGTGAAAACGGGACAGTGTGACCCTCTTCTAAGAACCGAGGCGCGGCCTCCACGTTAACCAGTGTGACGTCTTCCTCAACGAAAAACTCCTGGATATCCCGCACGTGCAGCATGAACGAACTGGTGAAAGGAGCCCTGAAGGGCTTCAGCCACGCGCTCCAGTAGCCTCCAGACCTTGAAGTAAGTGGCCGCCGCTTCATCTGCTCCGTTGCCACAGCAGAGTCTTCAAAGTACCACCCGGTCTTTTCCCACACCAGCTGCAACGGGTGTGACAGCTGCACCGGTGTCGCTGCGTCTGTTGGCAGGACATTCGTCAATGGTGGCTTTTCACCCGCAAGGGGACCAGAAGGAGGATGTGCGCGTCTGTATAGAAGGCACAGCTCTGACTCTGTGCGCCGCAACTCCTCCTGCAAGATTCTTGTTTTCATGCAGTCTGTCAGGTTCACTCGCAGGGTGCATCGCATAAGTTGCAGTCTGATTCTCGGCGTTCGGGCCACAGACACGCCTGGCTTCTCGCCATATGGACCATCCACTGTCAACGGCAGCTGCCGTGTATGGGTGTCGCTTCCTGAATCCGGAAGCGATTGATTGTCCTGGTAAAGCAAAAAGAGTGGCGAGCCGTAGTCATGTCTCTGTGTGAGGTCCAGCAGCAATTTGTGTGCTTCCCCTTTGACACAGTAGCACACAGACGAAGCAAGCGGGGCGATCAGCGGCATATCTGTGCCATTTCCCATCTTTCCGCTCTCTACGCCTGCTGCAGCAGCGCCAGGTGCCCCACGCACCACAACACACCCGGAGCCCAGCAGCAGCAGCGGGCAACACGGGTAGGCGCGTCGCAAGGCCTCGCTGAAAGTGCGTGAGGAGATGGACGGCATCCCCACACCTCCTGACGGCTTTTTTTCTTTTCGCGCCCAGCATGTGCAAAAAAAAAAAGGAGTAAAAGGAAGAAGAGGAAAAAAAGAGCAACGAAATGTCACAAACGGAAAGCATCGCACATGTCCACGGGAAAGGCGCGTGCGGAATCCATGCGGCTCACTTCTTGGATTGTGCTCACGTCCCATCGCATAAACAAAAAGAATTGAGTCGACTCATATGATCGCTTTACGTGCGTATGTCATGCTGAACCCACCCCCAGTACATACCCACACGCAGTGGTGTGCTCTTTTCCTCTCTTTTTTTTTCCTTTTCGCTTTACATCCCCGTCCTTTGTCAAGCGAGGTATGAGGCATTCAGCACTCTCTCAAAGTCCTCTTGTTTCACGTGCGCCGTATATTTCTCCGCGGCGTCCTCAAGTATTCCCCCC